CGCGGGTGCGCCCAGGTGCGCGCCGGGTGCGGGGACAGGCCCGCCCGCCGACGCCCGCAGCCACGGGCGCTGGGGAGAGATGGCCCCGCGGATGGAGGGCGCTCTCTTTTGGGGAGGGCCCCTTTGGGAGTGATGGCGAGGTGGCTCTGGGAGCGGAGATCTGAAGGCTGTCCAAGGTAGCGGCGGTGGGAAGAGCTTTCCGGGACACGCCAGCACCAGGTGCAGAGGCCCAGGGCCGGGAAGAGACGGATGCTGTTGTGGCTGAAGCCGCTTCAGTGACAGTCGTGCTGCAGGATATGAATGTTTCCAGGCAGCACGGACCGTACGCGCTTGAAGCTCGCTAAGGTTATATGTCAAATACCTTTCAGAAGCGGAAATGGGGAGATAAGTGGTAGGCTGGGGCCAGGTCCTGCGACGCTTTTAGAAGACTTTGAGGTGTGTTTTGAATAAAGTAGGAAGCCTTTGTGCGTCTGGCGTGTGGGAAGTAATATGATCTGATGTTCGTTTCTAAAAGGGGCTTCTAGAGCGCAGGTGTGTGCCTGGCAGCTGAGGCCTGACAGCCAAATCTGGTCTACTTCCTGTTTTTGGAGGGCCCACAAGCTAAGAATGAGAATGGCTTTTAGGTTGCTGAGCGTTCGGAAAAAAGCACAAAGTCTTCTGTGACAAGGGAAAGTTTTATGAAATTCAGATTTCAGTCTCCATAAATAAAGCTTTATTGGAGCAGCCCTGCCTGTTGCTGGTCACACACTGGTCTGTGCTGGGGCTGCTTTCACGGTGCCGTAGCAGAACTGGGGAGCTGTGACAGAGACTGGATGTCTCTCAGAACCTAAAATACTTAGGCCCTGCCCCGTCCCAGAAGAGGTTTGTGACACGTGGTGTGGAGATGAGCGAGGGAAGTGATGACCACAGGCATGCCAGGTGGGAGTCCGTTACACTGGCCCATTTAGAGGGGTTTGGACTCGGTGGACTCCATGGACATGGAGACGGCGGTGGGGAGGTGATCCCTAGGTTTTGTGCTGATTCTACTGCTGACTTGCTGTGCTCCAGGCCCTGTGCTCAGTACTTCATCCGTCCTCATGACACCCCTGCTGCTGTCATGCCCATTTTACAGATGACGAAACCAAGGCTTGAGAGGGTAAATCATTTGCCCCAAGTCACACGGCTAGTACGTGACTGAGCCAGGATGCAGGAGCCTGTCCTTTGAATCTGAGCTTTAAGTAAAGGACCCACGTCAGGCTACCCATTGCAGCAAGGAGGCACCTTCTGATGATGTTGGGAATGATAGCTGCCTCATGTCCCGAATTCTTCCTTCTCTGCACCAGGAAATGTGCTTTACACCCTGAACTCATTGGACCTCATGTGAATCTCATACCCACTTTTCCAGAAAGGAGATGGAGGTACAGAAGATGACTTCTTTTTGTTGTAGTGAGTGGTCAAGCCAGGGTGGTAGTCCGGGCCTGATTTCTTGATTGCTGCCTTAACCGTGGCTTCGAGATGGGCACTGTGCGACACAGTGCCGTGGGGGCGGAGGTGGGTCTCCGGGCCCAGGCTCGTGGTTTCGGCCGTGGGTGCTGGCGGTGAAGGCACAGCATTGGCAGCATAGGGAAGCACCTTTCAAGACCGGCCACGTGGGCCATGAGCCACATCAGTGTTTGTCATGCTCCTCACTGTCCTTGTTACACTGCCTTATCTGAGCCTCAGGACAGTTTACGGACTGCACTTGTCTGTTTTACCGGAAGCACCAGGGGAGAAGGTTTGAACTGCCCAGAACCTCAGCAGGGGAGTGGGAGCTGGGTTTGGACCCAGGCAGTTGGACTTCTGTGTGTGTTCCCTCCAGTCGGTAATGGACCAGCAATTAACGTTTCATAAAGGAATGCGTGGTCGTGTAGAGGGTATCGAGGATGCGTGACAGAACAGGAACTTTTTTGATGCATAATAACACTTGGACATTAAAAAATGCTCTCTTCTACAGGATACCTAGCCTAATCTCTTCGAATATTTGTTTTTATTTTTATTTGTTTTAATTTTTCAGTGTGTTCAGTTAGCCAACATTATAGTACATTGTAAGTTTTTGTTGTAGTGTTCAACGATTCATTACTTACATGTGCTCACCCCAACATGTGTCCTCCTTGGCTTTGTTTTTAGGTTCACGTGGGGTGAAATGTCATCATGTTGCAACTTACTTTTAAATCATTCAGCCTAAAGAGTATTTCATTTATAGCTACAGAAAAAGAAAACCAAGGATCTAGGTGAAGGGTATATAAAAGTGTATGTTTTACTATTCCTTCAACTTTTGCATAAGATTACAACGTCAAAGTACAAATTTGAGATGTCCTCGAAGTGATGCACAGATAAAGTCGGTGGGGTCCCTCCGCGCACCAGCACATTCCTCAGCCGTGAGTGCTGGTATGTGCTACAGTGGGATGAAGGCTGGAAACCCTATGCCAAGTGGTAGATCCAGACATGGAGGATTACATGTCCTTTCATTCCTTTTGTACAAAAGTGCCTGGAATGGACAAATCCATAAAGACTGGAAGAGGAGTGGTAGCCAGGGGCCAATGGAGAGCGAATGGGAAGTGCTTGTGAAGGAACAGGATTTTTCGGTGGTGTGATGAAATGTGGAATTGCATAGTGCTTGTGGTTGCTCAAGTGTGGGCAGGCTCAAACCACGGGGTTGTACGTCTCAAAACGGTGAACTGTTTTGTATGTGGGCTGCATCAGTGACAAAGCGTTTAGAAGGGAAACGTTGGTACCCTTCTGCCAGGGTGCTTGCTCCGTGGCCAGTGCTGCCGCTTGGTGGAGGAGGTGTGGCTTCGAGACCCGTCTGGGTGGGAAGCCTGCCGGTCTGGTCCTCAGGGTGAGTTAGCTCCTCATCTCCTGGCTCTCCTTGTTTTGAGGAAGTCTATTTGTGTTTCTAAGGTACTTTTTATGCTTCTCTGTCACTCCCGCCCCTTATCTCTGATCTAGGGCCTTTAGGGAGTGTTCTAAATGAGATGAGCGGGGTCAAGCTCCACAGCTTTGGGGGGTCCACTGGCTTAGGACAGAAGATGGGCCGCTAAAGATGCCAAGGTGATCCACGCTGACAGAAATCATGCCAGTCCCTTCATTCTCACCAGAGCTTCACCTGTTTCAAAGGTCACATTGTCCTTTCAAATAGCGAACTGAAAGAAGAAAAGCTTACTTTACAGATGTAGAGAGCAAATGATACGTTTATTTTCCTAGTAGAAAAAAAGGGGCAGTCTTGTGCATTTGAAGGAATTTTTCCAAACCAGCAACTGTGGGACTTACTGTACTCGACTCTGTGTTCTTTTAACTGGGCTTTTCTGAGCTGACTGCAGTGGCATCTTGACCAGTCACATGAGAGGCTGTTTACCCTCGCTTGGGGAGGGCAGAGGCCCCTGCGCGGGTGATGATGTAATGTGACTGGCTGCAGGCTCGCCAGCTCAGGGCACAGAAGCATGTGATTTGCAGTTTATAGGAGCCGGCTTCCCATTTGTAGAAAAAAATCACTGGTATGTAAAAAAAAATCACTGGTATGTAGTTATTTAGGGCCTTAGTAAGAGGCTTCGATTTCCAAAGTAACAGAAAATTTGACTTGGATGTTCAAAGCGGTTGACTGCCAAGTTCACACAGGACGATGTGTGCGGTGTCGTCACAGGTGACGAAAAGGGCCTGATGTACGTCGGCCAATTTGCATGTTGTCTGCGTTAATTTAGGTGTTCTGTTTACCGGCCCTCTTCGTTTTCAGGCTTGCTGAGCGCCACCCCCCCCCATTATTGGTTCTTATATATTTAGTTATATTTTCTCTGTAACCATTTCTCTGCTTACGATTTTTTCTTTTCTCTGGTCTGTCTTTGGATAGTGTGAATATTTGCGTCTAGTTTAGTAACATTAATATGCTTTGTGTCCCCATGAAGAGCTCTCTCAGAAATAAGAGAAATTCCCAGGACGACTCATTCATTCTGTCCTCATGCCAGCATTTGGTCCAGGACCTCCATCCAGATCTAACATATGCGGGAGGCGAGTTGGAAGTTCCTCCTGAGAACCTGTGGTTTATTTAAAACTCAGATTTTCAGGTTGTGATGCTGGTTACCATGTCATTAGCCCAGGCATGTCTGTTGACAACACAGTAGCCATACTTAATCATTTTGGATTAAATTTTTTTTTTCTTTTGAGGAGCATACAATTTTGACTGTTTTATACCTGCAATTTCAAAAAAATAGAGGTTATGATATTGTATCAAGTTATATGACTGCTAACAAGGTGCTTTTTTGTATCTGGCACTTGGTTGTTTGGGCCCCCATTGAAAACTTTTGTGCTCTGCTGGTGGAGATTGTTCTGTGGAACATGTCAGATCTGTTCTGACAGAAATCAGCCTTTCGATAACTTGTAACATTAGGAGGAGACAACAGAGGTTCCAAGGACAGCAAGCCTAGGACCGTCTCTGTATGCGTCCCAGCGTCGGCCTTTAGCTAGTAAGCTTTTTTAGAAATGGTATGAGATCACCGGCTAGAGTGGAGTGGTGTCCGCGTAGACATGGACGTCACGGGGAGAAGGGAAGGTGTGTGGGGCGCCTGCCCACACGTGGAGTGCCACCGGCACCGTGGGGCCCATCGCAGTGGTCCTGTGGGGAATGTTACCCGGTGCTTCTGCCGAAGTTCAGGAAATGAGTGGTTATTGAGCCCTCCAGGAATCTCTGTCCTTTCCAGCATGTCTCCTGATCCCTTCCATAGCCTTCCTGGACTGAAATAGCATCTAGTGTTAGTTTCAGTCTGGAATTTTGACCGTGCCCCAGATTGATCAAGGCGTGGAGCTATCTAGCTCTAAAACTGGTGGTTCTAAAACTTACCTGTGAGTAGAGGTCGCCTGGAAAGTGTTTAAAAGGCCAATTCCTGGCCCCCAACCCCAGAGAGGATGAGTCGGTAAGTCTGGCCTGAGAGCCTTGTGAATCAGCACTTTTAGGGAGCATTCCAGTGTTTCCAGAGCAGGCGGTGCTCAGATGTTACTTTGAGAAACTCTTGGATTTCTTGGATGTGAGCACACTGCAGAAAAACACTACGCAGAGAGTGTAGTGATTGAAGTTTAGGGTGCTCCTTTGTCGGGGATTCTGAGCGTATCTGTAAGCACCAGCTGATTGTGCTGCGTTTCTTACAGACTGCCATGATGACAGTGACCTAGTACTTCGTTATACAGGCTTTTCATCCTTGCAGATTACCACATTTCAAAGTCTGTTTCCTCCCTGTTGTTTTAGGTTAAAGACCGAGGTCCAGAAGCCACAAGAAGGTTTTTTAATTGGTTTTATTGGAGCATTAATCTGGGGGCAATCATTTCTCTGGGAGGCATCGCCTACGTTCAGCAGAATGTGGGCTTTGTGACCGGCTACCTCATCCCAGCGGTCTGCATCGGCATTGCTTTCCTGGTCTTCCTCTGCGGCCAGAGCGTCTTCATCACCAAGCCTCCTGATGGCAGCGCCTTCACCTATATGTTCAAGATCCTGGCATATTCGTGCCGTCCCCAGAAGCGAAGTGGAGAACGCGGTCAGAGTGGGTGAGTGCCGAGCTGTGATCGTAGGCTCAGCCTAACCCGACTTCCCCAAGGCTGTGAATGAAGTACTCGCGCATGTCTGACGCCGGCCCACGACGTGCAGGGCTCTGCGCGGTGGTTTAGAGTCTCGTGTCAGCTCGAGGTGGTGTGGCATTACTGTCTTCCAGCAGCCGGATTCCGGAGCTCATGCTTTCAGTGTTTAACTTCCGCACTGAATTTCCTCTCACTGCTGATTTAGACGGACTTCTTGCTTATATAAAGATGTGGGAGGTAGGGGCACCTGGGTGACTCAGTCAGTTAAGTGCCTGCCTTCGTCAGGGGCCCCAATCCCAGGACCGTGCTCGGCGGGGAGCCTGCTTCTCCTCCTCCCCCTGCTCATGGTGTCTCTCTCTGTTTCTCTCTCTCTCAAATAAATAAAATCTTTCAGAAAAAAAAAAAAAAGATGGAGGTAGAAATCGGCAGAGATCATAGGAGAGACACTGTACGTATTGTGTACATTTCTCTGTGTATTCTGAAAAGCTCTGGAGTTCATTTGAATAAAAAATCGAGCAGTTGCTTACTTTTGTAGGTACCTCTCTGAGCTCCTTAAACAGTAAGCTGTTGTTTCTCACTTGTGAGTCAGCAGCTGTGGGTCAGCATGGGCCCCATCAGCCCATGGTCATTGCAGCCGCTCTGTGACAGGAGGACATAAAAGAATTTTGAGATGCAGGTCGGGGAACTACATCATCCCCTTTGCGTGGGACTTACCTGTTTTAGCACCAAAAGCCCCACGTCCTGGGGAAGTCCCGGGCAAACTGGGACGGATGGTAGGTCACCCTAAATGCATATTAATAAAGGCAAGTCCAGAACTTAGCCCAAGAAGAGACCTCAGCAATTTAGGTATTTGTTGAAGCGTAATCTACGTGTAGTACAGTGCATCCCTCTGAGCTCTACAGTTCTGGAGTTACGACAGCCTTATTTGACCATGTAACTGCAGTGTGGTCAGGATAGAGACTATTTCCATCACCTCAGAGAAATCCCTGGGACCCTTTGTAATTGACCCCCTCGGAATATCTTGATCAAACTAGGCATTCCTGAGGGGTGAGCGGTCCCCGAGCCAGAGGCTAACCGTTCAGCCGGAGGGAGCCTTCTGCCCCTTAGGGCAGCACGCTCATGGCTGGGTGGCCCTGAGTGCTGGAAGGTTCTGCAGGCCGACCCCCAGACCTGCCTCCTCGTGGCTGGTCTGCTTGTATCTTACATACGCCCTTGGAGTCACATGAATGTCTGCTATTTGCTTCCATGCGGGAGGTTTGAAGCTGTTACAGAATAGCTCTTATGGCCCTGTCCCTTGGCTGCGGGCTACTGGACTCCTGGCTGTCCCTGCGCGGGGTTCCCGCAGATCCGCCAGCCACGCCTCAAGTCCCAGCGGCTCAGTGTGGCATTCAGACTCCTCATTCAGAACCACCAGTGGTGGCACCCCGCTGGGGAATGTTTACAAGTTCTGACAGTGCTACCTTGCTCTTGTCTGCCAGAGGCTCCCGGATGCCGACTCCCCGGCTCCCGACCGGGCGGAGGCGGGGTCCCGCTCGCGGACGCCGACTCTATAGATAGATTACTCATGAGCAAAATACAGCCTTTAAAGTTTCAGTGTGTCGGTGTGGGTGGTACCTGTAGACATTTCTGCAAGAGGACAGTTTTGGGTTCTGGATACACAAATGGCGTGACGAAAAAAATCTGGACTGACTTCTACTTAGGGTTAAGTTTGTTTTTTGGACAACTGGCAAAGTTAAGATAAAAAGGACTATCTTGTAGAGAGGTCGGTGTCCAGAGAATTCTCAAATTATGCTCTCATGGTACACAGAATCTGAGCTCTGTGACCTTGGGCAGGTGAATGACCTTGCCAAGCCTGCATTCCCTTTTTGTACAGTGGAGAGCAGCTCGTCTCACATGATCATTGTGAGGCCTGAGGAGCTGACGTGTACACAGCTCTCAGCGGAATGCCTGCCTGGCCTGTGATGAGAGCCCGGCTGATGTCAACTACGGCCAGGATGCTCTTGCAGAAAGTCGGCTCCAGAAATCTAGGCAAGTTCAGCATCGCGCAGTGTCTCCTCCATCTGGCCCAGTTCTGGTTTCCTCCTGGCCTACGTTGATCTATGTCCCGAAGATTAGTTTAACACTCCTTTTACATGAGAAGTCCATGTATATCTGTTCATTTCATCAGACGGAGTGGGAATAGTTCTAAACATTTTTTGAGATACATACCTCTTTGAGTTGAGAGTCTGAGAATTAATGGACCGTCTTCCTGGGAGAAGACAGGTCCGGGGAGCACGGCCTCATGGAGCCGGGGCACTTTCTGGGTCCTGTCTGTGTTTCATGTCGTTTGTGTCTTTGGCTCCATGTTGGACCCTTGTGTGTTGCAAAATAACACACTAACAGCGTGTGTGAGTTCGGGAAAGCACGCGGTGCCTGCAACTTAGTACTTCTCAGAGTATCTTAATGACGTAAGTAACGTAACCAGTAACACGTCTGAGTGATTCTGTGTGTAAAAATGGATTTGTTACTGGACGCTGACATGTTTTTAGAGAAGCACATGTAGTATGATGTAGTAAGTCAGATAGCATCTGAACTAGGTATGTAAGGACTTTACATTTCCTTTTGGCCAAATAAAATAAAATAAAATAAAATTGGAGAAGCTGTGAATATTTTCAAGTGAAAGTATGAGTAGTATATTTGGAGTTTAGAGTTTTTCTTTGAGTGTAGTTTTCCTGATTATTTTCCTTACTAGATAAGCTACATATGATTAGGAATAGTATCTTTCTAACTTTATTTATGTATCTCTAGCACCAGGTAGAACAGATCTGGGTGTGTAGTACGTGCTCAATAAATGTTTGTTGAATTGAATTTAGTTGTCCTGTCTAAAATTTGGCTAAAATATTAAGTTACAGTTTTCAGTTTTTTGGTTCCCCCCCCCGAATGTTCAAATGAAAAAATGTCATTGTTTTGAGACAAAAATGATTTAAAACAGTGGTCACTTAGTTATAAATTGGATAGGCGTTTATGAACTAGAAAGCAGACCACTGTCATTTATATCTGAATCCCAGAATTGGAAGAAGGGAAGAGTTCTTAATGGTAATTATTTATCTCCTGGTATTTCTGGCTTTAGAGAATAGTTGGCAAATGAAACAATTTTTTTTCTGTTTTATCCCTAACAATCTAAGAGCATGTATCTCCGTTAGAGTGTTGTGGAGCTATCCACTGGGACGTGTTCATTTTATAATTAATGAAACTGTCCTAGAGTAAGCGTGTGAGTGCAGCTGCTAATGCATGAGCCACGACCAGAAGGCTTGATTTTCTGACCATGCCTGACTCGTGAGCATGAGGGTGAGGCCTGTGGCCAGGGAGCAGAGGGGCAGGCGATGTCCCCTGGGCCTGGGCCTTAGGCTCTGCAGCCAGGGCCCTCTGGGTCAAATCCCAGCCCCCGTTCTCTGGCTCTGTTACCTTGAGCACGTTCTTGACCCTCTCTGCGACCTGGCTTCCTCCTCAGTGCCTTGGGGCCAGTGAGACTATTCTGATGGCTCCTCCCAGGGTCGTGATCCAGGTTAACGAGCAAGCACCAGTGCCACCAGCTGCCTGGTGACATCGTCGTGTTACCGTCGCGATCGCAGCTTTCCCTGCCAGAACAGAACCCTTGCTCACGGGCCCATCAGTGGCTGCACTTTAAAGCAACAGCTTTAGTAACAACATCCATGTTATGGTTGTGAAGTTTTCACGTTTGAAAAAGCCACCCGACTCAAAATCCAAACAATCCAGCCCATTTTTTTCCCCTCAAACGCTCATCCAGCGCTGTAGCTGATGTAGCGGCCAGCTTCAAGTGAAACCGCAGGCCTTGCTCAGCGTGCGTGATGGGAGTGGGGCGGGGAGACCGGCCGCGCCGTGTCTGTGGCCTCCTAACGTGGCAGGAGCGCAGGTGCGCTTCCCGGCGAGGTCCTCTGCTGGCCTCGTCCACACATGCGCAGTGCTTCCCGCCAGCCCAGGCTGCTGTGTTCAGTGCGCAGTTAGTGAGGAACAGGGGGGTGTTAAAGCAGATCAGTGCAGCGAGCTGGCTTCCTGCCTCCAAACGTAAATTGTTGCCACATACGTGATTTCTGGGGGTGGAAGAAAACTAACTCCTTCATTTTATCTCCCAAAGTGAAGGCCTTGGAGTCCTTCAGCACTCTTCTAAACACAGTCTGTTTGATTCATGTAAGAGGTCTCGCGGAGGGCCGTTTGCGGAGGACACGGTGGAGGACGTGAAGGCCCTTGTGAAGATCATCCCCGTGTTCTTGGCTTTGATACCCTACTGGACGGTGTATTTCCAAGTGAGTGGTGACGGCTGGGTATCCACTGCTTTCTGTCCCCGCACTCGCTTGGGTCGCCACCGGAGTGCAGGGGCACCGTGCTCTCCTCTGCGGAGTCTGTGGGATCTTGGAATCCTGTTTCCAGTCGTGGAACTCACTTCTGCTGAGTTAGACGTTTTGAGACCCTTTCCATGAGAGAAGCTAAGAGCAGGTGTGCTTTTGCTTTCCAGGCCCCACCTTTGGGCTTAATTGCTCTGTTACTTCTTTTCCAAAGTTGATCTCCAGATGACTTGTATGATGACCAAATAATCGATCTGTTTTCAGACCCGAGCCATGCACACCTCCTCACGGAGCGGTCTGGGGGTGGGCGGCTCGCTGGAGTGTTCCCACACATAACGGTCCCACTTTTTACACCCAGATGCAGACAACGTATGTTCTGCAGAGTCTTCATTTGAAGATTCCGGCGATTTCCAGAATCACAGCCACTCCTCATACGGTGAGAACAACTGAGATGATCTGAAAATTGTCACTTGGAGCTTATGTAGCAGGCGGGTGCCTTCCGCCAGTCGTAGGTCCTTCCCGAGGGTCCTCGGCTGCTCGAACCAGAACATTCTCATTGGAATGGAACTTTTGCTTATTTTAGAGACTATTCTATTGGCCGTGTCGTTTCCTAGATCGTTGACAAATGTCAGCCAAACACTAATCTTCCTACCTGACTTTTTTCTCCCTAAAAGCATAGAAGAACAAATGCAGATGCACTTGGAAATGAAAATCTTTTTCAGTTCCAGTGTCTTGAAACTGAGACTTTTTCCTTAGGAGGTTATACTTTGTATGAATGGACTCTTCTAGAATAAAGATTTTCTCAGGGCGCCTGGGTGGCTCAGTCGGTTAAGCGTCTGCCTTCGGCTCAGGTCATGATCTCAGGGTCCTGGGATCGGGCCCCGCATCGGGCTCCCTGCTCCGCGGGAAGCCAGCTTCTCCCTCTCCCACTCCCCCTGCTTGTGTTCCCTCTCTTGCTGTGTCTCTCTCTGTCAAATAAATAAA